TCAGGTGCGCTCTGGAGAAAGTGGTTACGAGTGCGCTCGCCTCTCTTTCCCGGAATCTTTGCTTCCCCTCTTGTTGGCTATCGTGGCTTCGAGTCTGCCATTAAGAGGCAGACGCGCCCCATTAGCTTGACAGTGGAAATCGGTCGCGCCGGGTGGGTTTGCGCTCCACCACTCGACTCACCGAAGCCCCACTATTGTCCGCGAAACCCTCCAGGCTTCCACGCCTCGAACGGTCCCCAAAACATTGCGTTAAGTAGCAGTGGGAGAGAGCGATCACTCTCACCACGCCATGACACCATGAGTCACCAACCGGAAGTCTATACAAAGTCAGCTTATTGCCCCCACAAACTGGTAATTTTTTTCCTCCTTTTTATATAATAGAATATAAGTAACAATTTGATGGGAAAGACTACAGGGTGAAAGTGGTATTACCATGTCATTGGCATTAAAATGGCAATGACATTGGCTGGCATAACTCTTTTAATTGTTTTTAATTCGTTTTTTTAAAAAAGGGGTTTTTTAATCAATGTGGGCCAAATTTGTTTAATATACTTTTAAATTGTTTTAAATTTTATATTTTTATGTTTTTATTTTTGGCTGTACACCGCCCTGAGTCCTTCGGGAGAAGGGCGGTATATAAATTTAAATAATAAATAATAAATAAATAAATAAAATGGAATATTGAATAATTATCTTTAAAAGATTGTGTATATCAATTCTAGGATTATATAAGTTTGATTAATATAACAATTATTATGATTATCATTATTGATGTTTATATCAAAATGAATTATACCGAGGGGCCACAATGTTCTTGTATTGATATAGATGTATATTTAAAAATAAAAAAAATCTATTTAAAAAAACCAAACAAACTCCGTATTGGAGACAGGAAGGGCATCTGGCCAGTAATAGTCAGCTCCATTCAATTGCCCAGACTCTTCCTGCAAGGGATTATGAGGTTGTTAAAAGAAGATGATCCCATTGACCATTTGTGGCATTGGCTCTATAAAACCCGGCCCATTTTCTGAAATTTGGGAAAACATCCTTGATATGATTCGTAAACCCAACTTTACAGATAGTCCTCAACTTACAACCGTCCATTTAACGATGGCACTGAAAAAGGGAATTAGGACCGTTTTTCACACTTAAGACCATGGCAGCACTCCCAGAGTCCGGTGATCAAAATTCAGCCGCTTGACAACTGACTCGTATTTATGACGATCGCAGTGTTTCCGGGGTCACGTGACCCCCCCCCCTCCTTTTGCGACCTTCTGACGAGCAAAGTCGATGGGGAAGCCAGATTCATTTAACAACTGTGTGACTAACTTAACGACTGCGGTGATTCGCTTAACAACTGTGGCAAGAAAGGTCGTAAACTGGGGCAAAACTCACTTGAAAACGGTCTTGCTTAGCAACAGAAATGTTGGGCTCAGTTGTGGTCGTAATTGAAGGACCATCTGTATGTCAAACCCCAGCATAAGGCGTAGGAAGTGTTTTGTCATTTATACACGGGTTCCGATAGTATCTGATCCATTCTTTTCGGAATTTCACTTCTAAAATATTGTGTGTGTTGAGAGAGAACAGGAATGGCCTGGGGAAAGGGAGGGGGGGAATAGTCCTTGACTTAAAACCATTTGGAAAAATGTGACTTCTCTTTTTTCCCCCCAGGTTTTTTATTTTATATTATTTATACATATCAATGTGTGAATAGTATGATACCTGGGTAGCATACATTTTGATACAAATAGATATAATATTATTACTCATAGTTGTTACATTTCATTTTCATTGTTTCATATTGTTTAAGCATACTTACCGTGTTTCCCCGAAAATAAGACCCTGTCTTATATTTCTTTGAACCCTGAAATAAACCCCATTGGGCTTATGTCTTATTTTGGGGAAAACATGGTATCTATCTATCTCTCATCTATCTATTTATCAATCTATTTAACCATCCATCTACCTATCATCTATCCATTTATCTGTCTGTCTATCTGTGTCTGTCTGTCTGTCTGTCTGTCTGTCTGTCTGTCTGTCTATCTATCTATCTATCTATCTATCTATCTATCTATCTATCTCCTATCTGTATCTTTCTATCTATCCATCCATCTATCTATCTATCTATCTATCTATCTATCTATCTATCTATCTATCTATCTAACTATCTACCTACCTACCTACCTACCTACCTACCTATCTATCTTCTATCTCTCCTATCTATATCTATCTATCTTCTATCTATCTATCTCTATCTTCTATCTCTCTCCTATCTATATCTGTCTGTCTGTCTGTCTATCTATCTATCTATCTATCTTATCTATCTTCTTTCTATCTACCTATCTACCGTGTTTCCCTGAAAATAAGACCCTGTCTTATGTTTTTTTTTTTGAACCCTGAAATAAGGACTTGGCCTTATTGCCATGTGCTCAAAAGCCCAATTGGGCTTATTATCGGGGGATGTCTTATTTTGGGGAAAACAGGGTAATACTACCGCCCTTCAATTTCTAAACCTCCCTCTTGTTCATATATCTTGTTATATACATATGCATATTCTTTCTAGCCAGGTTTTACCTACGTAAACTAAGATATAATAAACTATATATATGTTTTTCTTCTAGCCAGGTTTAGCATATATATAGCATATATATATATGCTAAATAGCATATATATATAAATAGCATATATATAATAGCATATATATAAATAGCATATATATAATAGCATATATATATATATATGCTATTATTCCCCTCTTATTTCTATCTCTACTTTAACTTTTTTTTCCTTGCCACCATAATATTCAAAGACGTTTCTTTTCTATTTTCCATATTTCACCAGCTTTGTTATTCATATTTCCCTTATTTAGCTCTTCATGTCTATTTATAATTAAAGTTTCATCCTTCATTCTTTCATTATTCAGTGTTTCAGTGTACACTTCTAGTACCCATCACAATCATTTAAACCAGTGTTTCTCAACCTTAGTAGCTTGAAGATGGGTGGACTTCAACTTCCAGAATCCCCCAGCCAGCAGTGCTGGCTGGGGGATTCTGGGAGTTGAAGTCCACCCATCTTCAAGCTTCCAAGGTTGAGAAACACTGATTTAAACGTATAGAGTAAATCTATTCATGTTCTTTCCAATCATCCAATCTGTGTGATTCTACTAAATAATACACATTAATACATATTATTTCATTAACTAATCACCCATTGTTTAATTTTATCATTTCACTGCTAGTCATAATATTTTATGCATATTTAATAATACCATCATTCAATCTCTAATTGTCCAATTAACACTTAATTCTTATTCATAATTCCCATATTTCACTCTTTATATCTATTTATATTAAAATATTATCCTAATAGGAATGCAGTGGCTCAGTGGCTAAGACGCTGAGCTTGTCGATCGAAAGGTCGGCAGTTCCGCGGTTCGAATCCCTAGTGCCGCGTAACAGGGTGAGCTCCCGTGACTTGTCCCAGCTTCTGCCAACCTAGCAGTTCGAAAGCAGGTAAAAAATGCAAGTAGAAAAACAGGGACCACCTTTGGTGGGAAGGTAACAGCGTTCTGTGCGCCTTTGGTATTTAGTCATGCCGGCCACATGACCACGGAGACGTCTTCGGACAGCACTGGCTCTTTGGTTTTGAAACGGAGATGAGCAGCGCCCTCTAGAGTCAGGAACACCTAGCACATATGTCCGAGGGGAATCTTTACCTTTACCTTTATATCCTAATGTCTGTCACACTACATACAAAATAATCATCCAGGAAAAATGTGACTTCTCATGCTTATCACTATTGCAACATCCTACGTGGTCACTTGGTCAGAATTTGGACCCTTGGCAACTGATATGTATTTCTGATGGTTGCAGCCTTCGCAGGTGGTTTTAGACAAGAAAAATTAATGGGGGAAGCCACGTTTTGCTTAGTGACCCTATGATTCACTTAACGGGGTTCACTTAACAACTGCCAATTGTTGGGCTAAACAGGAATGACCTATCAAAAGTACTTAAGCCTACATAAAAAAAAATCTTTGCACCTTACCTGGAAATTCAGATGTAAAAGGTGAGCTTTTTCTATCCATAATGTAGTTTCTCTTAAGCTTCTTTCTTTCTTTCTTTCTTTCTTTCTTTCTTTCTTTCTTTCTTTCTTTCTTTCTTTCTCTCTCTCTCTTTCTCTTTCTCTTTCTCTTTCTCTTTCTCTTTCTCTCTCTCTCTCTCTCTCTCTCTCTTTCTCACTCACTCCTTCCTCTTTCTTTCTTTCTTTCTTTCTTCCCTCCCTCTCCTCTTTACTTTTTCTTTCTTTCTTTCTTCCTTACTTTCTCTTTCTCTGTCTCTCTTTCTCACTCACTCCTTCCTCTTTCTTTTTTGCTTGCTTGCTTTCCTCCCTCACTCCTCTTTACTCTTTCTTTCTCTTTCTCTCTTTCTCACTCCTTTCTTTCTTGCTTGCTTGCTTTCCTCCCTCCCTCTCCTCTTTACTTTTTCTTTCTTCCTTACTTTCTCTCTCTCTCTCTCTTTCTCACTCACTCCTTCTTCTTTCTTTTTTGCTTGCTTGCTTGCTTTCCTCCCTCACTCCCCTCCTTCCTTTCTTCCTTCCTTTCTCTCTCTCTTTCTCACTTCTTTCTTTCTTTCCTTCCTTACTCCCCTCTTTATTTTCTTTCTTTCTTTCTTTTTCACTTTCTTTCTCTCTCTTTCTCTCTTACTCCTTCCTCTTGCTTGCTTGCTTTCCTCCCTCACTCCCTTCTTTCCTTCCTTTCCAACTTTTTCTTTTCATCCCCTTCCCTCTCCTTCCTCCCTCCTTTCCTTTCCTTCTTTTTCCTTCCCTTCCCTTCCCTCTCCTTCCTCCCTCCTTTCCTTTTCTCCCACCATCTTTCCTTTCCTTTCCTTTCCTTTCCTTTCCTTTCCTTTCCTTTCCTTTCCTTTCCTTTCCTTTCCTTTCCTTTCCTTTCCTTTCCTTTCCTTTCTTTTTCTCTAATCTTTCTATTTTGTGAATCCATCCAGAATTGCAATGAGCGATTCCAGTACAAATACCAGCTGCGTTCGCACATGAGTATCCACATTGGACACAAACAGTTCATGTGCCAGTGGTGTGGGAAGGACTTCAACATGAAGCAGTATTTTGACGAGCACATGAAAACGCACACAGGTGAGACCAGGTCTTCCCCGCATTCTTAAGCTAGTTCAGTTTTCCTGTTTACCTTGAAGAGCTGGCAACTCGTTTGTTGCCGTTGTGAATGCTCACATTCAGCCAGGCAAGACAAATGTCGGCCTCCAGGCAAACTCAGTTTAAATTCACACCAGTCAATCAAACAGGCTGTACTTGACTTACAACCAATGATACTCAGCTGTACATCTCCACCCCAGACCACCCCAACGATGCCCTTGAAGTGATGTCCCGGTGCCTGGAGGCCGTGCGGGTCTGGATGGGGAGGAACAGGCTCCGACTCAACCCCTCCAAGACCGAGTGGCTGTGGCTGCCGGCATCCCGATATAGTCAGCTGGTGCCATCGCTGGCTATTGGGGGCGAGTCATTGGCCCCCACGGAGAGGACTCGTAACTTGGGCGTCCTCCTGGACGCACGGCTGTCTTTAGAAGAGCATATGACGGCCGTGGCCAGGGGGGCTTTTTATCAGGTTCGCCTGATTCGCCAGTTGCACCCCTTTCTGGATCGGGACTCCTTATGCACGGTCACTCATGCCCTCGTCACTTCCCGCCTGGACTACTGTAATGCTCTCTACATGGGGCTCCCCTTGAGGAGCACCCGGAGGCTCCAACTGGTCCAGAATGCGGCCGCGCGGGTGATTATGGAGGCGACATGGCGCTCCCATGTAACACCTCTCCTGCGCGAGCTGCACTGGCTTCCGGTGGTCTTCCGGGTGCGATTCAAGTTATTGATTCTCATCTTTAAAGCGCTCCATGGCTTAGGGCCTGGGTACCTACGAGACCACCTTCTGCCACCGATAACCTCCCACCGGCCAACACGCTCCCACAGAGAGGGTCTCCTCAGGGTGCCGTCGGTCAGGCAATGTCGGCTGGCGACCCCCAGGGGAAGAGCCTTCTCTGTGGAGGCACCCGCCCTCTGGAATGAGCTACCCCCAGGAATACGACTGATCCCGGACCTCCGGACCTTTCGCCGGGCTTCTTCTTTCAGCAAGCCGGGCTGGCTTAAAATTTTTAATTGTTTTATGGGAAAGGGGTTTTAAATTGGGGAAGCCAAATGGATTTAATTATGTTTTAAATTATTTTAATTTTCATATTGTATGTATTTTAATCCTGGCTGTTCACCGCCCTGAGTCCCTCTGGGAGAAGGGCGGGTAAAAAAATTTAATCAATTCAATTCAATTCAATTCAACTGAGCCCCAGATTTCTGTTGCTAAGCAAGACAGTTTGTTGAGTGAATTTTGCCACAGCTGTTAAATGAACCACTGCAGTTGTTTATGTCAGTGACACAGTTGTTAAGTGAATCTGGCTTCCCCGTTGACTTTGCTCATCAGAAGGTCGCAAAAGGGGATCACACTTAATAACTGTGGCCAAAAAAAGGTCATAAAATGAATCAAAACATAATTAGCAACCTAAATTTGGGGCTCAATTGTCGTTAAGTTGAGGACTATCTGTACACCCCATTGATTCACTCAGAATGACAGAATAAGGGGCTTTGGAGGTCTTCTAGTCCAACCCCTGCTCGAAGAGGAGACCATATACCATTCCGGTTGTCCGATCTCTTCTTAAAAACCTCCAGTGATGGAGCATTCACAATTTCTGGAGGCAAGTTGTTCCACTGGTTAATTGTCCTCACTGTCAGGAAATTTCTCATTGGTTCCAGGTTGCTTCTCTCCTAGATTAGTTTCCATCCATTGCTTTTGGTCCTGCCCTCAGGTGCTTTGGAGAATAGCTTGACTCCCTCTTGGCAGCCCCTGAGATATTGGAAGACTTCTCATGCCAACTTCATCCCAGGTCCTATTCTAAATCATCTCTAACTCAGTTTCCCACCTTGAAAATTGGTTCTGGCCCCAAAGAGACCTCAGCTGACCATTTTCAGAAAACACCTTTTCACTCTCTCTCTTCTGTGTCCTACTTCTCCAGGTGAGAAACCATACATTTGTGAGATCTGTGGGAAGAGCTTCACCAGTCGCCCCAACATGAAACGCCACCGACGGACGCACACGGGTGAGAAGCCCTACCCTTGTGACATCTGCGGTCAACGCTTCCGGTTCTCCAACATGCTCAAGGCTCACAAGGAGAAGTGTTTCCGGGTCAGCAATCCAACAGGTGCAGTTCCCAACCGAGATACAAACTCTCTTGGTCTCCTCGTTTCTCCAAACGCCAACTCAACTCTTTTGACCACCGGCGTTCCTCTCCATTCGTCCTCTCCTTCCCAGGCACTTCCTTTGCCGCTTGGACATCCTCATGCACACCCCATGCCTCCTCCTCCTCTCCTACCCCCAACACCAGCTCTCTTCCCTGGTAGCAGAGTGAACATGGACAACTAGACCCTGTTCAACCTCTGGTGTGTCAAACTTGGCTCGTAATTCTGAAGATATCTCCGATGCCGTTGACTGTTATGGGTTTGTGGTTAGCGGGCATCACGTTTGGGTTTTAGTTTGAGGGACCTGAAGTTCTTGGTTCTTCAATAGGAGCATCTAGAACCTTGAGATCATGGTTGCTACTCAAGCCACAGAGATAACATTGTTGATCTGTTTGCTCAACGAAGGAGGCAGACTAGTTTTGCTTGACCTGCTCTTCTTAGATGTGTTGGACTTCAGCTCCTACATCTGAATGGATGGCGTAGAAGAAACAAAAGATGTTATTTATTGACTCTGAAGATCTTGAGAAGATGATAGAGCTTGCAAGGTAGAAAGACACAGGCAACGACTTTCCGAACCTATCTGGTCAGATATGGGTTTGGAGGAGTCCGAAGCAGATGGGTTTCTCTTGGAGGTTGAAATGGAAGATGCCTTCACTCAAGGCAAGAAGGTTGGAAGGGAGCACTCCAGTTTTTCATGGTCCTCTGAATGGGAATGGAGAAATATGGAAACCTTGCTCCATGGAAGTCCCAAAGGTGCTTTTTTTCAGGAGGTGACTGGACTTTTCTTGTTTTTCCTTTGAAAAAGTTTCGCTTATCATCCAAGAAGCTTCTTCAGCTCTAACTGGATAGTGGGGTATGGAAGGATGTATATTCCCTTTACTCTGTGGAACTGAAAGGAAACGGCAAGATGTGGGCGGCAAAATTGTCCTTGGTGTGAGAAAGTGGATCATTGAGTTTGTCACCTTGTAGCACCTTCTTCCAAGGTCAGCTTCTCATTCATTCACTCTGTCGTTCTTGCCTATCCTTTATTACAACTGTCCATTTCTCAGCTTCTGTAGCTTGAAGCTCAGGTGGCCTTCTCTGAAGATGATAACGCTAGAGATGAAGCTCTCCCCTTACTAATAGTCCCTTGAAAACAGTAGAACTGCAGGACCCTTTTCCTTGATTACCATCAAGGCTTAAATCCAGCATCTTTACATATTATGGAATTCTCATGCAGCCTAGACACCATAACTAAGTCTACAAGTCCTTGATTTTTACTCTACGCCTACTATTCCTAAGGAGAATGCACTTCCTGAGGAACTTCTTCTAAAACCAACATTCTCTTCTTCACAAAGCTCTTTGGAGGAAGACATTGAGCCTTTAAGGACATTTTTAACATGAAGCGTTGGTTCTTTTAACTTTTTTTGCACTTTATCTAATCCTAAGAGCTCTTTCGCAATAGGACCTTTATGAATTCTTCCAGAGGAGCAGAACTTGGGGGCGTCATTGCCTGAGTCGTCTTTCACTTCCAAGGCAAAGACCCCCAAGTCAAAATGGGCCATGTTTCAAAGATTGACCCATTCTGTTGTCGAGATGCACACCAAGGGTGTTTCACAGGAGAAAGGTGTTCCTTGAATCGATATTTGCATCTTTGGCAAAGTTTGGTGGATCTTGTTTGACTAGAAGATCCAGGATTTTTGATTGTTGGTTTGTACGTCCATACGAGCAGGGCTGGCCCCTTGGAACCACCACAATGCACAAATGGATGAGGGAAAGGCTGTGGAGTCAGCAAATGTGCAATAACAATGAACTGGTGAACAAAAGACACGCATTGATTGTGGTTGATTGTCTCATCTAGTCCTTCCTGATCAAACTCTTAAAAAGTGGTGTTTAAGCTTAGAAAGAGAGAGAGACTCTTAAGATCCTTTGGAACTTTGCTACAGGTAGTCCTCAACTTACGGCCACAATTGGGACCTGAACTCTGAGCGATGCAGTCATTGAGTCATGTCCAAATTGATTTTTTTTTTTTTGTCACAAAGCAGCCGGTCTTTAAATGAATCGCATGGTCGTTAAGCAAGTCTGGCTTGCTCCATTGGCGGCCTTGTTGTCAGTATCCGGCGGGGAAGGTCGCATATGGTGAACACGTGATGCCGGAATCCTGCAACCATCATAAGTACATGCCGGTTGCCAAGTGCACAAATTTTGATCACGTGACTGGGACGCAGTGACAGTCATAAGTACGAGGACCGATTGTAACTATTTTTTTAGCACTGACATAATTGTCCAGTGGTAAAGAAAGGCCGTAAGCTGCGGAATATCTATAGTATATTAGGAAAGGAAGGAAGTCAAACTGATTTTATGAATGCTTACCATTTGATCACCTAATAATATTTTTATGGCATTTGGTATCTACTGCCAAATTATCCAGAAAAGGAAAAAATAACGTTCACCAATAACTCTTAGTATTGGAAACAAAAATACTTTATAACAAAGCACTTTATTCTGTATAGATCTAAGGGAGTCTGAGTCCCTTTTTTTTTAATGCATCTTAAAAATTCCTGTTGGAAAAAAACATTGCAGTGTTCCTTTTAAACGTCTTCTATAAAATCTCCATATATATATATATATATATGTTATATATATATATATAATATTTTATATATATATATATATATATATATATATATATTTTCTAGCTGCTGGGGAAAGATTTTTCCACAGTCCTGGTTATCTTTCAATGCTGGCAGGTGTCCATTTTCAAACAGGTGGAAAACATACAGGTTAGCCCTCAAGTTAAAACCAGAACGGAGCTGTCCCAATGTAGGACATTTTTTCAGCTTTAAGTGCTGCTTTAAAAAATCGTTGTTTAAAACATGGTCTTGTACCCACCGGACATTGTCGAATGCCCGAAATTCAGTCACGTGACCTTAAGAGAGGTCTCAACTGTTGGAACTGAGTCTTAATCCCCTTTTTTGGGGTCGTAACTTCAGATGGTCACTAAGTGATTAGTCATAACCCGAGGACTACCTGTACTTTCGAGGGCTTTCATTTCAGAAGCAAGCAGCATCAGGAGAAATGTTTAGGAATAGATCTGAATCAGTATGCTCACAGTGGGATCATTAATCTCTGTTCCGCAGAAATCCTTCTCTCTAAAAGTGCTAGATTCGCACGTGATCCTTTTCCGCGGACCAGAATACCCCTTCAATGGCAGGGGAGGAAAGCTGCCTATCTAAACATGTTTCAGGCCGCTTCCCGTTCCCGTGGCCCATGGTTCTCAATGCCCTTCTCCAAATGGATGAAATTAAGTGTTTGAAATTCCTGCCAAGCTGCTAGTCCTCTTGAGGACTCTCGTGCTAGCCGAGTTTTGATCTGTGTTACCACTCGGTATGACTCGGTATGACTCTGTTTGTGGCACGTGTATATGCCTCTCTGCAGGTGCCGAAGGGAGGAGGTTTTTTTAACTAGGGATAAGATTTCACGAGAGTCATAGTCTATGTTCCCTTCCTGAAAATGGGTTCAGCACCTGCCACCCCACCCTGATTTCTGATTGGGAATGGGATTAAGGACCCCAGGTCATTGGAAAGCTAATTTGTAAGTAGCCCAAAGCTTACGTGTAACTCGGAAACCCACTTTTAAATCTAGAATAAGATGATAATTCCTCATTTTTGCAAAGACTGTAATTGTGAGCCCATTGGGAAAAGGCAGGTAGTTCTCAACAAACGACGGTAAAGGGGCCTTCCCATTACAGTCATTATGTTGTGACGGCTATAAATCAAGTCAGTCTTGCAAGGCCTTATTTGCAGCGGCCGTTAAGTGAATGCAGCGGTTGTAAAACCAACAGCGTGATCACGTGATTGCAGGATGCTAATAAGTGCAGCCATGTTGCCAAGCACTCAAATCACGGCCACATGAACCGGAGGGGGGGGGGCGACTGTCACAGCTTTGGAACTCGGTCGTAACTCTCTTTTTCTGGGTACGTGGTAACTTCGAACAGTCATTAAGTGACCAGTCATAAGTTGAGGAGCGCCTTTACTGCAGTGTTTCTCAACGTTGGCAACTTTAAGACACATGGACTTCAACTCCCAGAATTCCCCAATCAGCCATTCTGGCTAGAGGATTCTGGGACTTAATAGTCCAAATAGGCCGATTGAGGAATTCTGTGAGTTGGAAGTCCACGTGGAGCCTCTTTTAAATTATTGTGTGAAACCTAACTGCCCACCTCCAGATATGTTCACATTACAGTAAGCATTTTTTTTTTTTTTAAGGAATTCAGGAATTCTTTCAGCATGCCTGGAGGGTTATTATCAGGTTGGGAAAATCTCTTTGGCCAGAACTAAACCTGAGATTGCTTTCAATAAAAAAAAGTTTTCATATTTTAATAAGGGTGTTTTCTTTTTCCTTGCTTCTCTTAACTCGTTCCTGCTGTGTTTTACAGTCAGCCAAAAATGTTTTTCTGTCTTCTGTTCCACAGCTTTCTTGCGAAGGGTTATCATTAAAAAGGTGAAGGATTTTTGTTAAAAATAATAATTACCTTTTCATCCTAGCAATACAGAGAGTCCTCAACTTATACAAGTGCAGAAAAGAGCAACTGGAGACAAAAGCATACGAAGAACGGCTGCAGGATTTGGGTATGGATAGTCTAATGAAGAGAAAAATTAGGGGAGACATGAGAGCAGTCTTCCAATATCTCAGGGGCTGCCCCAAAGAAGAGGGAGTCAAGCTATTCTCCAAAGCACCTGAAGGCAGGACAAGAAACAACGGATGGAAACTAATCAAGGAGAGAAGCAACCTGGAATTAAGGAGAAACTTCCTAACAGTGAGAACAAATTAACCAGTGGAACTCCTTGCCACCAGAAGTTGTGGGTGCTCTATCACTGGAGGCTTTTAAGAAGAGTCTGGACAGTCACTTGTCTAAAATGGTAGAAGACCTTCAAGGTCCCTTCCAGCTCTACTTTGATTGATTGAATCTGGCTTCCCCATTAACTTAAGTACGGGCAGTCCCCAATTTAGAACAGATTATTTCGTGACCACCCAAAGTTACAGCAGCACTGAAGACTATCACACGACCGTTGCAGCATCTCCATGGTCACATGATCAAAATCCAGACGCTTGCCAAGAGGTTCATATTTACAACGTTCGCAGTGTCCCCGACGTTTGCAGTGACCTGACAAGCAAAGTCCGTGGGGAAAGCCCGACTCACTTAACAACCGTGTTACTGAGGTAACAACTGCACTGATTCACTCAACAACTGTGGCAGGAAAAGTCATAAAAATGGGACAAAATTCACCTAACCGCTGTCTCGCTTAGCAACAGAAATTTTGGGGTCGTAACAGTGGTGAAATCTGAACCAGTTTACTACCGGTTCGCTGGCTGCGTATGCGCAGTGCGTACCACGCACCAAATGCAAGGTGCACATGTGCAGTGCACGCAAAGAGAAGGCATGCGGTAAGTAGTACAGCGCGAGGGGGCAGTGATCAGCTGTGGAACGCAATCTCTTTTTTTACTTTTAAAAGCATTGCTTTTAGGACTTCCGGTGGCTCCGCCGACGCCGAAAGACGCTCATTTGTGAGCGCCAGCCCCAGGTTTCCGTTAGAGCCGCTAGAATAGCGAAAATCAGCTGTTTAGCGGCTTGAAAACTTTCCCCCTGGGAGAAGGGGGGAAAGAGAGCCGAAGGGTGTGGGTAGAGCTCCCCAAGAGCCCCAGGTTTCTTCTTAAATCTGGGGCTTAAAGGGTGAGAGCTCCCCGGGAAGCCCGTCATTGCTCCGGACCTGGGACGTTTCTGCTTCAAGCAGAACTAGACGTCGCGACCACCCCAGCAACTCAACTTTAAAGAAAAAAAATTTTGGACTTGAAAGCTGGCAGAGCAAATACAGGAGAAACTAAAATTGCAAGTATTAAACTTTAACTCCGAAAAGTCTATCACTTCCCTCTGAATTTCTATGGGAGAAAGGGAAAGTAAGATGGCGTTTGATTCTAACGGGGCGTGGAGAAGTGAAAGTTAGATACAAAGTATTACGTGGTGCTGAAAGCCCCTGTTTGAAAGAAGAGGATTTTATTTTAAAAGGAGAAAGATTTAAAAATCATTTCTAAAAAAAAAAAGACTTGTACCACTTAAGGATTGTAATAATTGATCTAGTTGCTGGAAAAGTATAAAGTGAAAGTTTTATTGGGGAAAAAATGGCTCGTTTTTCTGAAAGTGATGAAGGCTCACCATTACATACATCAGCAAATACACAAATACTGACCGTGGATCTCTTTGAAGAAATTTTAGAATCATTTACCTCCGCGTTTGTGGAAAGAATGGAAGGGTTGTTCAAGAAGAATTTTACACAAATTCAAAACAAAGATACAAGTGAAGGTACTGTATTGTTTCAGTTGTCAAACAATAATGAGTTGCTGAATGAAGAGGCGGACGAAACAATCCAGTCTAATGTCCCTCTGGAAAATGAAATGGAGGCTTTTCAAATTAAGAAGGAAAAGCAGAGAGGCTTGAAGGAGGGTGACTAGGAAATATTGAGAGACATTTCTTCAGAGGCTTTGATACAGACAACTGGAAAATTATCAGGAGGCGTTGGGATTTCTTATATAAGAAGGAAGATTCGAAGTGGAACTTTACAATTTTTTTACAAAAATGGATTCTCAAATGCAGTTAAAGAGGTGTTTTTACTGAAAGGAATTACTTTGCGAAGAGAACAGGATTGTGAGGTTCAGCAACGTCAGTTAAAAATTCAAGAACTTATAAAAATAAAAGGAGGAGGAAAAAGACTGAAGCAGAAGGTTCGCAAAAAAGTCAGGAAAAAATGGAGAAGGAAAAATTACAATC